CCAGATGGGGTGTTCTTTGTTTACATTCAGAAGCTCGCTTGACAGGCTTCTGATAGTATTTCGACACACAACAGTTCCATACAAATCGAAAAAGGGACACTTTCGCATGAAAGAAACATTCATAGTATGATGGATAATAGCAATTTGTATAGTTTAGTGACATTTATGCAAAAATCCCATCTTGGTTATTTTTTTATAACTAACAACAGTGATTTTGATTATGAATTTGTTTTATAAAATTCTAAGCTGTTGAACTACAAAAATATAGATTTTAAGAAAAATGTTATGCTTAAAGAATGAAAAATACCTTATGGTACATTTAAAATTGTATACGTCTTTCGATACCCTTGATAGAGTATTCACTACTTTTATTTTATTTTCCAATTGCCAAAATGTTTTAAATAAAACAAATTTTTTTTCACATCCATATATTATTTAACATGTGCCTTTTAAAATTTTTTAGAGGATAGGCTTTACTGCTGCTCATTTTAAACTCATCGTTTTAATTTTATATATCTGAAAAATAATCACTTTGGGCTTACACATTTTACTTATTTGGGTTAATTAAAAATAAAATTACCATCCAATGCTGCAATCCTCATCAAAATTAATAAATATACACACAAATATGCCAATAAGTTAGCTTTCCCTTGATTTGGAACCACACATTTGTGTAAAATTATGTACAGTTTTACACAAATGTGTGGAACAGAAGAGGGATACATTTGCGAATTTGGCGGAAGTACCATGTGCGGTCAAGATGATGTGACCATGTGAACGTGCTACACCATCAAGATAGCTTATTAAGAATTTGAAAATAGGGTAATCGACGGAGATGAAAACATTTGTATATCCTGCCAAAGGAGGTCCGATCATGAATGGTCCTCTTATTGATTCCAGATTGTTAAATGTTTCCCACGCAAGTCTTTTTTTCTCAGAAATTCCAGTTTATGCTGGCTTCTTAACGTACACAGGTCATTGAATTATTTATAAATGTATTTGAAATGAAGAATTTGTTCACTTATAAACAATTGTGAAAGTACTGTGAAGAAATCTAATTATTAAATGTATCTAATTTATAATGATTATAAATGTTATCTAAATATATAACCTTAATATTGAATTGTAAACATAAACTGAAATCCTGTTGACAAATACGTTATAAAACTATTTAAGCAAGAATTGTTTGTATTGGAAAGCAATCTGTTAAAAGGTATTGTAAAGCAAATGCTATGAGATGCGCACTTAAGAACGTAATGAAGAGTTTTGGAATATGTATTGTTGAAATGAAGGGTAAAAAAAAATGATAAGTATAATTAAAGAATTATTCCCCTTACATTTTATAATAACTAACTCAGTTACAAGTTTTAAAATAATACTTAAAAAAAAAAAAAAAAAAAACTTATTTTATTCCCTTTCAGAAATGGTTCAGAGAAAGTCAAGTACTATTTAAAGTATTTCGCTAATTCCTAATAATTCTCTAATTTAAAATGAACTGAATAGAGCATTAATTACAAAATTGACTTACATTTTTCGATTTAAAAGATGCCTCAGAAGCCAAAAAATCATGTCATATTTAAGAAAGTATTTTAGGAAGAAGCTCTATAAATAGAAAAGAAATAATGCATAATTTTAATATTAATAATACAATAAACTTTGATCTTAATTTTTTTTGTACCTTAACCGAATAAAATCGAATTACCTTAATTTTTTTTTCTAATGTAATTAACGAAAACTTGTGAAAATATTTCATTCAAATTAAACCATTCTGAGAAAACTGTCCTGTGAAAAGTATAGCATTTAATTCCGTTCAGAATGAAATGTTGTTTAAAAATATGTTGTTTTCATATACTTAGGACTCTGAAGTGTTGTAGAAAAATAAAATATATACATTTATATGTATATTTATGACATAATTACAAAATATTTACATCCGAATGCGTCAAATCCCATTGAACTCAATGGTAAATGACCCAATGTTTTGGTCACCGCGTAGGGATCGCCGGTGCTTCAGAGCAGGGTACGGGAGAAACTTGTTTAGGGCTACTCCATCTTACTTCCTACCTCCATGTTTCTGAAGGTGCTCTGACTGAGAAAATTAAAAATCATAACATTTCAGTCTTTCCTTTCTTAAATTTTCATTACAGTTGGTAGTAAGATAATCGAAAAGGAAGAGCAGGTATTCAAAAAAGTAGGCTGACTAAATAAAGCAAGTGAAAAAAAAACATATCCTTTGTTTTAATATACAGTAGCATATAGAAACTCTATCTATTCGGCAAATCATTGTAAAAGATCCATTTTTAAAGGTCTGTAATATAATAAATTTATTTTATTAAAAACTGTGATATTAGTACCACTCATATACAGATTTAATCCTCAAAAGTTTTATTTTTTTGTTTCAATGTCATTTTCTAATTTTAATGATTCAATTTGCAAGATTCTGTTGCAAAAAATAATAATACCACATTGAAATAAAATTTTAAAAGCACCTTGCTTTGTGTATTAGGTAGAGCCACTTATGTTGCTAATGTTTTATTTAAACAGAGTCTGAAGTCTAAAGGGTGATATACACACCTCACAGTCATGTGACCTCAGATCATGTTCTCAGATTTTGCATTGACCCTAAATGAAAAGGCTGAAATGGCAATTGTTCTTACCCACCCCATCAAGAGAGACTGAAATTTTTTAATTTGCCTGAAATTGTAGATAACTATAAAAAACAGTAGGGAAACACATATTCATAGACTGGCACCTAATCAAAGGCAGATACTCCGATAGTTACGAAAAAAGCCCAAGAAGGAGTTAAGCTTCCCTTAGGATACCTATTTTGAAGAACAGAGAGCAGTATAAATATTATATCATGTATAATCATTGCAATTAATTTTATATGCACACAAAAGTACATAACTAAATGCTAAATTAATAATTGCATATATGTCTTTGTCAAACATTAGTATTTAGATTTACAATTCTGCACACAAACATATTACACTACTAAATTTTTATTTCATTCTATTTCAAGTTTAGCCCAAATTTCTGCATATAAAGAGTAGTAATAAATTACATAACCAATATAAGGCCTATCAATAATTATCATAACACATTATTAGAAGTCACCAGTTTTTCAGAATGTGGGGAACTCTAGCAATCATGTGCATAAACATTCTTCAGATAACTATGCTCATAACAATCCTTCAGTTAGGCAATGCTGGCATTTTTGTATGCAGCCTTTTCTTGTACACCACGTTCCAATGTGTTTTATGAACAAATTACGATCCTTTTTTGCTTTTGTTTTAAAATATAGCTCATGAAACTTGCCAGCGATGGAAGAAACTATGATAAAATGTGAGTAAGAATACAATATCTTGCCATAAAACTTCTGAAGTTAAGAATGACAAGATGAATTTTGTAGACAGCCTGTGTGTAATGCTAAGTTCGAGCATTTCTCTGATGCTATTTTAAGTGAAAATAATTTGCATCATATATGAGGAAAAGAATAGCACTAAAAAATTAGAAGAGAACTCATGAAAAATAAACTTATAAGTATAAAAGGTAGGATTATCTCTTCAGAAAAACTTATCATATAATAAAACATAATACAGTGAATGACAAAGAAATTTCACTGAATATTTATGAAAAATGGCAGATAGGACATTTTAAATAAACTATATTTGTGTTTTAATCAAGTAAAGAAAAGTATTTTGATACTAACAATGCTAAGATATTAGTGTTATTTCAGTTAATTTTTCAGATAGCCTGTTTCCCCTGTTATCGGAGGAATGGGTCCAGAAATGTATGTACACATATATCATGTATATACATATATCATGTTCATGTATATACATATACACATACACTTCTGAATCCAGTCCTGAAAACACATGAATAATTTTTTTTAATCTAAACAGTTGTACTTTAATTTAGAAACAAAGTTAAACACCATGCTGAATTAGTCTGAAGTCACACATCTCTTTTAGATTTAGTTCATAAAAATATTATGAAATATGCAATTTGTGTGAATATTGACAAATATGTGCATGGATTTTAAAAGTTACCAAGTAAACATTCAAATATGTACCCTTGATATACTAAACATTACAAAACATATCTGAAGTTCTTTAATATCAATTTCCTTCATTAACTTTCCTTGCATGGTATTTGCAAACTTCATCTCATAATGTACTTTTTACATATGTAGCTCCTAACCATATATCATCTGAATGAAAGTACCATTTATGGTTATTTTTAACAATTAAGATTTATTAAATAAACAAATTAAAATATAGCAATGTTACTTCAATGAATGCCATGAAATGAAATTTTAAAATAATTCAGTTAATTCTATGATAGATCCATTTTAAAAAATTGATTAAGGCTAATCCTAGAACATGGTACTGAACATGGTTGAATTAAAACCACAAAAAATTAGTTTCTACTTAACTCCAGAGTTAATCAATCAAAATGATCTGGGGAAAAATTTCGGTAATTTTCTGTTATGATGCTAGATTCAGAGATGTATGTATGGATGAATTTATATGTTCAATGTATACATACATATGTAAGCACAAATGCAAATGCATGTATGCATGAACACATACATTTTTTAATCTGGTTCCAATAACAGAACATGTAAATAAACTATGTAAATGTGAGTGTGTATGCACACATTCTAATGTACGTACATACACACATGCATATATACACGCATGCATACATATTTACATTTCTGAATCTGGTCCCTATAACAGAAAATTACCAAACTTTCTAGGCTTCTTAAAATGACAATTTGTACCAATGTTTGAAAACCAAGTACTATTAAGTTTCAAGTTCAAACTAAGACTTTTTTTTTCTTTGGGGAAAAGGGCACACACCTCATGCTCATAATGAAATTGTGCATCCTTGCACAGTTAAAAATGTGCAGTAAAATTAAGTTTCACTACTAAATGAAAGAAACAGAGAATACTTTTTGAATAAATATCTAGTATGCATGAATTTCTCACCTGCATCGAAATGATTTTTTCCGAATTTCTTGTGTAACAGATGGGGTTGTTCTACTTAGTATGTCCAAAATCTGACTTGAAATATTTGAGAAAAACCTAATTTCTCATTCCCAACACAATACGTGGTAACCATCTATTAGTTTTTTATAACATAATACACTGGCACATTTGATGCTGGAGCAGGACAGACTTGATTTTCAGGTTTTGTTTACCATCAATGGAAGTACTTAACACATTATTTCATAACATGCATAAGAAAGACATTTATATCATTAATAACAAAGCTGTGCTTGGTATCTGTATTAAATTCAGAAAAAGTCAAGAGTTTAATTCAAAGCCCACAGAAGTTTAGAATAACTTAAAAAATTTATCTTCATAAATGATATGCTTTCTCTTGTGAAAACATATATATATATATATATATTTTCATTTTGATCAAACAATCATTTACATATCTAACACAGCCTCAGTGGTAGGTTTTATATCTCCCAGCATTAAAATCTACAAATCTTAACAATGAATATATTTAAAAAAACTAAGATATTCAGCAATCTGGTGGAACTGATCTCAGTCTTGAGATAAGATAATCAGGTTTTATTGCACAGACATGCCTTAATTCATTCGCAGGTATAGCATGTTACTAATTTAGCATATGCTAAAAAAACAGGTTCTCTACTATGTAGATCAGAGGTTCTCAACGGTGGTACGCGAGAGAAAAATAGGTGGTATGTAAAGAAGAAAAATATTTTTAACTGTTAAATTCAAAAATTAAAGCCCCAACATCCTGATTGAGTTTTCTCTCAGAAATTTATGCGATCTGAGCTTTGTTCACGGTGGTAGTAGTACTTTGTTGTAGTGGTGGTACTAAAGGTTTTCAATTTTTGTTTAGATGGTACGCGTTAGTCAAAAGGTTGAGAACCGCTGGTATAGATCAATATGCTTATTCAGGTTCATCTCTCCAAATCAGTTGTTATATACCTAAATCTCAAAATTTCTTTCACATATAGTTGTGCCCTATGTAGATTTAAATCAATCTTCAGTATAAATGACATTTTACATTGCATATCTCTCTGCAGCGAGAATATTTATATGCTTGTTTAAACTACCTTTTCCAATGACTGACTGCTTACATACTTAAGACACACAGAGTTTTTATCCTGTGTGAATAAGCCTATACTCCTTGAAAACTTCACACACATGAGGTTTTTCTCCAATGTTAATGAGCATATGCACATTTCACTAAACAGCTTCATACAGATGATGTTTCTCTCCAGTATGACCGATTATATGTTTGTTTAAAGTATCCTTTCTACTAAATGACTTTTTACATATTTCACAAATATGATTTTTTTCTCGAGTGTGAACAACCATATGCTTGGTTAAAGTATCCTTTCGACTAAATGATTTCTTACATACTTGACAGATATGAGGTTTTGCTCCTGTGTGAATTAACATATGCATGTCCAAACCTCCCTTCCGAGTGAACAACTTGTTACATACTTCACACATATGAGGTTTCACTCCTGTGTGAATAAGCATATGCATGTATAAACCTCCCTTCTGACTAAACAACTTCTTACATACTTCACACATATGACGTTTACCTCCAGTGTGGATGAGCATATGCTCATTCAAATTTTCCTTTCGACGAAATGACTTTTCACATACTTCACATACATGAGGTTTCTCTCCTGTGTGAATAAGAACATGCTTCTTTAAATTACCCTTTTCACTAAATGACTTTTTACATACTTCACACACATGACGTTTTTCTCCTCTGTGAATGAGCATATGCATGTTTAAATCAGCCTTTTCACTAAACAACTTCTTGCATACTTCACATATATGAGATTTCTCTCCAGTGTGAATAAGCATATGATTGTTTAAACTATCTGTTTTACTAAATGCAATCATACATACTTCACATACATGAGGCTTCTCTCCAGTGTGAATAAACATGTGCTCATTTAAACTGCTCTTTTGACTAAATGACATTTTACATACTTCACATATATGATGTATTTCTCCCATGTGAATAACCATATGTTTGTTTAAACTATGCTTTTGCCTAAATGACTTCTTACATAGTTCACATGTATGAGGTTTTTCTCCTGTGTGAATAAGCATATGTTTCTTTAAACTACTCTCTTGACTAAACAACTTCTTACATACTTCACACATATAAAGTTTTTCTCTAGTGTGAATAAGCATATGGTCGTGCAAATTACGCTTTCGACTAAATGACTTTTCACATACTTCACATACATGAGGTTTTTCACCTGTATGAATAAGCATATGCTTCTTTAAATTACCCTTTAGACTAAACAGCTTCTTACATACTACACACACATGAGATTTCTCTCCTGTGTGAATAAGCATATGCTCCTTTAAATGAGTTTTTTGACTAAACAACATCTTACATACTTCACACATATGAGGTTTTTCTCTCGTGTGTATACGCATATGCATGTATAAACCTCCTTTTTGACTAAACAATTTCTTACATACTTCACACATATGAGGTTTTTCTCCAGTATGAATAAGCATATGCTTGTTCAAATTGCTCTTTCGACTAAATGACTTCTTACATTCTTCACACACATAGGGTTTCTCATCTGTATTGCTATCCATAAGATCTTCTAAAACATCGTTTCTTCCATCGTATGGTTACATTCCGCTAGACCTGATGTTTGTCCGCTACACAGAGAACTATAAGCTTTGTTATAATACAACTTAGATGATATATATGCTCAGCACAAATGGAAATTCGGTTGGTTAATTGAAAATTTACGCAATGTACTTCTTTGAAACTACATAAAATACATTCATCTACATAACTTTCATTATCTTGCACATATACATGAGTGAATATTTTGAAAAAATATTAATACATATTGTGCGTGTGACCTACCTACCTAATGTGCTACATAAGCAAGGCTTGATTTCTGGAAACAGTTTAATAAAAATCCACTTGTTACGTTTCATAGAAATATGCTTGGTAAAAGTTTGCAATTGGGTGCCCCTTGTTTACATGATGTTTCGATTATTTAGATTTGTTAGCCACTTTAGATTAATTATATGTTAGCTAGTTTTAGATTATTTAGATTTATTAACATAATTCCCAGATTTCACGGTACACAGATGGCGAAGAATTTTGCTGCTGGTACTTCTTTTAACTTGTCTCAAATACTGCTCACTTATCATTTCTGTATCTGTATCAATCTTGCTTTTTAAGCAAGAAGAAAAGAGATGTGGACTTTGGCGAAAGCCGTTTCTTCCAGTCCGTCAAGGTTAAAGTTATAATTAACAACAAGCGTTTTATTAAACATTTACAAACATCCATTCCTATTTATCATTCCAATACAGAAAAGTTGACAAATGTATTGTTTCGCACCCACTCAGTCTTTCTGCCCACAGGAGCCATAGCCCAGGATGCAGGAAATAGGAACTAGGACAGCATGGAGGGTAAACAAGCTCAAAAGTGTGATGACCACGAAATAGTCATACGGTTTTCTTTGGCTATACAAAATTCAACCCTTTACCGTTCACAAACTTTCGATTTCTGCATATAATTCCTGATCTAAGACTACTGTAAAGAGAGGGAGGTCTATTTTAAAGCGCGTCAAGGCGAAATAGGTTTCTTCAAGATCCAAATTGTTGTCCGAACAATATCCCAAAATTGCACCCTACACACGACGATATCAAATTCGCTCATTTTCCTAGTCCGTGGAAGCAAGCTATAATAATAGTTTTTGCTAAATCGCAACAAAATCCTTCCTTCCCTCAGAACTATCGCCATATCAGTTTACTGAGCCATCTTTCTAAAGTTACAGAGAAAATTCTACTATTTTGCATTCAGAGAATCCAGAAATTTTCTCCCAGAAGAACAATTCTGATTTCGTGATCATCATAGTACTTGTCGCCAACTTCTAAGAGTTATCAACATTATCACTGAAGGCTACAAATGCAAGCTTCCGACCGCGGTGCTATATTCCTCGATATCGCGAAAGCTTTTCACAGGGTATGGCATAGAGGCCTTATTTACAAACTTATCACTCTCAATTTTCCAGATCATTTTATTCGCTTAATAGCCTCTTTTCTCAGCAACAGAACATTCAGACTCAAAATCGGTACTGCTTACTCAAGCACAAGAGTAATCAATGCTGGTGTCCCACAGGGGTCGGCACTTTAGACGTATCTTTTTAATATTTATACGTAAGGTATCCTTAAAGACCCTTATGTGCATCTTGCACTCTTTCCCGATGACACCGCCATACTTACTAAAGCCTGCACAGTTATCGCCGTAAGAATTCCGTGCTATATTCCTCGATATCGCGAAAGCTTTTGACCGAGTATGGCATCGCGGCCTCATTTGCAAATTAATCACACTCAATTTTCCAGATCATTTTATTCACTCAATTTCCTCTTTTCTCAGCAACAGAACATTCAGAATAAAAATTTGAACTGCTTTTTCAACTACCAGAGTAATCAAAGCTGGTGTCCCACAGGGATCGGCACTTTAGACGTATCTTTTTAATATTTATACGTAAGGTATCCTTAAAGACCTTTCTGTGCATCTTGCAATTTTTGCCGATGACACCGCCATACTTACTGAAGCTTGCAAAACAATCGCCGTAAGAACCAACTCCAAAACTGTCTCATAAAACTGGAAAAATTTCTCACCCTTTGAATGCTTAAAATTAACACCGATGACACCGCCATACTTACTGAAGCTTGCAAAACAATCGCCGTAAGAACCAACTCCAAAACTGTCTCATAAAACTGGAAAAATTTCTCACCCTTTGAATGCTTAAAATTAACACTGATAAAACCAAGGAAATGATTTTCCGTAAAGAAAACATGAACTAGTACCCTCCACCTCCTAAAATTCCTGACAAAGAAATAGACTGAACTAATGAAACCAAATACCTTGGAGTCACCCTGGATCAAAAACTTACCTTCAGAATCCACTTCCGCTCAGTAACACAAAAATTTTAAATCACCTCTGCTACTATGCGACCTCTTCATGGTAGAAGAAGCAACAAATTAATTTTATTTCGCTCCATACTTCGTCCAGCCCTCCTTCATACATCTCCGATCTAGCGACATGCAAGTACAACCAATATAAAACAATTGCGATTACTACAAAATAAAATCTTACGAGAAATTATCAACGCTCCTTGGTATATTCCAAACACTTAAATTCACAGGGATCTACAAATAGAACCTACACAAGACTACATTAAATGTTTAGCTCTTAACTTCTTTCACTCAGTGCAATCGCACAGTAATAGCCTTATTAGCACTCTAAGACACTCTCCGCACACCAGAGAAAAACATCGATATTCCTGTGACATTCTATAACAATTACAACCAAAATTCATCCATTCATGCTTAATTGACTCTACGGTTTACGCTCCATCTTGTAAAGTCACTGACCTCATCCCCCATTCGCCGCCGCACTAGCGCGGACAAGATCCTCTTCTCACCCCCTCCCAAACATCCTACTACACTGTACTTCTTTCTTTCACACCTGATTGCTTATCAGAAGCCGAGTAAGAAGGTGTTTCTACATCTTGACATTTGAGAATAAAATACGATCTTCGTCATCGTCGTATTATATTCTCGAGTGTCATTTGCATCAGAGCATCGAATCCATCGATTGTCATGGATTAGAACAATAGTCATGGTGAAGCATCTGCAGAAAAAGGCTTACTGGGTAGTTCGATCCCCTTGAAAAGGGTTTTGATACCAAGACTTCAAAAGGCACATTTCGCCAAGAAATAGAGTGACCAAATAGAGTGTGATAACTTAATACGTTACAGCAGAGTTCATAATCTTTGGTACGCTTACTCCTGGGAGTAAATGACGGCTAGTCAGGGTTATGTAAAAGTTTATAGTAATGGCGGGAAATAACAAAGTGTTATATTAAATGCTGATAAAAATGAAAGTATTTAGAACTTTTTAATTTGGCATTAATTAGAAAGAAAATACATTTGACTGATGCCGATATCAGTATCATTTTCCGAAACGAATATTTTCGGAGTCTGTTGGCAGTAGGTGTTGTAACTTACTTAGTGGAAGAACTTTCAGAGGAAGACAAAAATAAGTTTTATTCCCATGTTAGAAGTTATTTCTACCAAGTATTGTTAAATAGACGATATTGTTCGAAGAACAGCCTTAACGCCAAAAAGGGGAGAAACAACTTTTTATGGTAGACCAGCTTATGGTTGTTATCCGATGACGTACTTCCTCTAGGAGGACAGCGTGCTACTTTTCCCCTGCTAAGGGATTATCCGTAGTAGCAGATCGGGATACGTATTCGGAAAATATCGTTACGTTTGCTGTTTGCTTATCAAACAAAGAGTATTAAATTAGAAATAGCAAATAATTGATAAAATATAAAATATTGATAATATATGTAAAAATAAGTGTCTTGCACCTGTAAATATTTATTTAATGCTTTATTTTCGGTTTTCTTTTGCTTTGTTATGCTTCCCTGTACTCATCGATGTTCAAACATGGTTTATTCTATAGTTTTTAGCATTTGTGTTATGTGCATTGATTGCAAGTAATCTATAAACATTTTCTTGTACTTTCTTTCTTGCAATGTGTGCTTTCATATCGTTGTGCAATAAAATAAGTCAATGTGTGCTTTCATATTATATTCATAGTTAATTACAATAATCTGAATTGAGAGGAACTTTAGATTTGACTATAGTGTGGCAGGTTTACTTCGCAGTTGCTAGAAATATCTGGCTTAAACAAGCTTAAATTCTCAGACTAAATATATTTGCAGTATATTTGTTCTGGGACATTTGTAGCCTCAGTCTGATATTTAGTTTACAGCACATTTAATATTTTTAGTTTTTATTGCACGAATTAAAAATATTAATAAATTTTTAGAAAATATGTATGCGATAACGTCGTTAATTGACTGGTATAATTTACAGGACCTGTCATACGCAGTTACTACTTTCTGTAGTAGAGGAAAATACATCGCCTCGCGTACCCTACGCACCGTTTTCATTACCCAGAGGTGGCAGCGGTAGGGATGTCATGCAATTCTTGCAAAATGCTTAGCCGTAGTGCAGCTGGGATGAGTGGCCTATATTCGAAGTTTTCATTCGTAGACCTAGTATAAAACAATAAATTATCTATTATTAGACAGTTATCAATAATAACTGTCTCATATTCACATCACGCGTGAAGAAAAGCGGGAAAACGTCTTTATTTAATTGAATGAGACGAAGCATTTAAGAAGAATGATGTATTCATGGAAATTTTCTAGAGGAAACTGGTTTGTATTCATGTTACACACAAGGAAATGCACGGAGATGTCTAAACATTTAAATTGTTTGCCGGAATTCGAAGTCGATTTGAACTAACACTATTCAAATGACGTCTGATTTACTCGATTACTGCTAAGCCAAAAATATAATTGTTTTTGCAGTAATATTGTAATTCGAATGTTCATTGCATTACAACTGCAATTACTACTGCATTAGTTCTAGTTTTAACGATAAATTAACATCAATGAATTAACAGCTTTTCTCAGTCAATAACAGATAGCTTAAATTTTAAAGATAAACTAAAGATCTTATAATTTCTCGAATGACAATATGAGAAAGCGCATTCGCCAAGGATTTTCGAAATTTAATTAGAATCTTATTTTTTCGCACACTGGCAATACTTCCAAAGGCTGCTCGAAGGTTATGTCCTAGACATGATCGTGCCTACAGATTTTGTTTTCCAAGGAAAGTATTTTATACCATACATAAATATAGTGCGTCTCGTTCAAGGTGCAGTAAACAGCGAGTACTGATAAATTTAATTGGAATTACACTATAATTCTAGTTAATAGGGATACTGTAATGTCTGATACCTCCGTCCCCCTGGTATTCGAGGGAAAAAGTTGTACAACTCCCTCTGGCGATTGATTGCCGCAGGGAAGAGACAGTTAGGGTTTGGACAGCGTCGGAGGTGACTTCACGATTATCGCAGGCGTGTACTCACCGTATGTCTTAATAGGACTACACGATAATATGCAGGCGTGTACTCTCCAATTGACTTTAATTTATGTTAATCTTATGTAAATATTTTGTAATCTACTTAATACCACTTATATATATGTAAAAAAATAAAATAATGTGTGAGAAGAAAGAAGTCCCATTATTGGATTAACACCACGGATGACAGGAAACTAAAGAACCTTTCAAAAACAAACCATCACATTGGTGTCAGGAGTGGGGTCACTTTGTCGTCGTGGTGAGCGTCATCAAGAAGATAAGAGGTAGGCAATAATTTTATCTGACTTTTTATTTCTTCTCTTATTGCATTGAAAATAAGATAAAATGTTTGCTGTAAAAGGAATAAGAAAAGGAGATTTAATATT